GTCTAAACTCTTTAGACCAATTTTTTAAGATTGTGAAGCCTCTGTAGATTCCGAGCACTCTAGGAATTCTGAGGTTTCTGGAAATTTTGGGATTTTGGAAATACTACGGTTTCTGGGGATTCCCGAGATTCTGGGAAGGTTTGAGATTTTGAAGCTTCTGGGAATTCTGCAGTTTTTGGCGATATCAGGGTTTCTGGAGATTCGGAGGATTTTGAACATTTTGAACATTTTCAACACTCTGGACATTCTGGGTGTTTCGGGGATTCTGGGAGTTTTTGGGACCCGGCGGATTTTCAGGATTCTAGGGATTACATTCGCTCTTAACACTTTGAACATTCTGAGGATCCTGTAGACTCCGAAGAGGATTCTGGATTTTCTTGGTATCCTGTCAATTCTGGCGGTACTGGCAATTTTGGGTATTTTAACACTTCTGGGAATCTACTGATTTTGGTATTTCTGGGCTTATTGAGGATTCTGCGAATTTTGCAGATCCCAGGGATTCTGGGGATTCCTAAGATTTTGAACATTTTGAACATTCTACGTATTTTAGGGTTCTTAGAGTTTCTGGGAATTCTGGGAATTCTCAATTTTGAACACTCTGAAATTTCGGAGGAATTTGGGGATTCTAGAGATGGTCTGAGTTGTGGTGATTTTGACGATTCTACGGATTTCGGGGTTCCTGAGATTCCTGGGGATTGTGGGAATTCTGGAGGTTTCTGGAAATTCTGGAATTTTGGAGACCCTGCGGTTTCTGAGGATTCCCGAGGTTTTGGGAATTTTTGAGGTTCTGAGGGTTCTGGGAATTTTGCAGTTTTTGACGATTTCAGGGTTTTTCGGGATTCGGAGGATTTTGAACATTCTAAACATTTTCAACATTCTGGGTATTTAGGGTATTCTGACGATTCCACGGAGCGATTCTGGAGATTTTGGGAATTTTTGGAACTTGGGGGATTTTCTGGATTCTGGGGATTACATTCGCTCTTAACACTTTGAACATTCTGAGGATCCTGTTGACTCCGAAGAGGATTCTGGATTTTCTTGGTATCCTGTCAATTCTGGCGGTACTGGCAATTTTGGGTATTTTAACACTTCTGGGAATCTACTGATTTTGGTATTTCTGGGCTTATTGAGGATTCTGCGAATTTTGCAGATCCCAGGGATTCTGGGGATTCCTAAGATTTTGAACATTTTGAACATTCTACGTATTTTAGGGTTCTTAGAGTTTCTGGGAATTCTGGGAATTCTCAATTTTGAACACTCTGAAATTTCGGAGGAATTTGGGGATTCTAGAGATGGTCTGAGTTGTGGTGATTTTGACGATTCTACGGATTTCGGGGTTCCTGAGATTCCTGGGGATTGTGGGAATTCTGGAGGTTTCTGGAAATTCTGGAATTTTGGAGACCCTGCGGTTTCTGAGGATTCCCGAGGTTTTGGGAATTTTTGAGGTTCTGAGGCTTCTGGGAATTTTGCAGTTTTTGACGATTTCAGGGTTTTTCGGGATTCGGAGGATTTTGAACATTCTAAACATTTTCAACATTCTGGGTATTTAGGGTATTCTGACGATTCCACGGAGTGATTCTGGGAATTATTTTCGCTCTTAACATGTTGAATATTCCGAAGATTCTGAGAATTCTGAAGATTCTGAACATGTTGAACATTCTCCTTATTTTAGGGTTTCTGGAGTTTCTGGAGTTTCTGGTAATTGTGGGGGTTCTGGAGTTAATGGGAATTCTGAACATTTTGAACACTCTGAATGTTCTGGTGATTTTGGCGATTCTACAGATTTTTGGGGTACCTGGAGTTTCTGGGGATTGTGGGAATTCTGTATTTCTCAGAATTTTTAGGGTTCTGAGTATTCGGGGAATTCCAAAGATCCGACAGATTCGAAGAATTTGGAAAATTCGGAGGATTCGAAAGATTCGAAAGATTCTGAAGATTCTGAGCATTTTGATGATTTTCTGAAGATTTTGAGGATCCTGGGAATTCTGGAGGTTTTCTATATTGTGGAGCTTCTTGGAATTCTGGAGATTCTGTGAATTCTAGGCATTTTGCTGATTCTGGGAATATTCGGATTTTATGATTTCTGGGATTTCTAGAGATTTTGAAGATTCTGTGGATACTGAGTACTTCGCAAATTCTGAGGTTTCTGGAAATTTCTGAGATTTTGGAGATCCTGTGGTGTCTGGGGATTCTTGAGAATCTGGGAATTTCGCATTCTCTGACGGTTTTTGGGGTTTCTAGAGATTTCTAGGATTTTGAACACTTTGAACATTTGAAAACTCTGACGATTCCAGGAAATGATTCTGGGGATTCTGGGAATTTTTGGGACTCCGGGAATTTTCAGGATTCTGGGGATTACATTCGCTCTTAACATTTTGAACATTTTGAAGATTCTGAAGATTCGGAAGATTCGGAAGGTTGTGAAAGTTCTAAACAATTTGAAGATTTCGAGTGATCCGAAAATTCCTAGAATACCCAATGTTTTCAGATACTTTTGGGAATCTACCTATTTTGGGATTCCTGGGTTTCTTGAGGATTTTGAAGAATTTGCGGATTCTGGGAATTTTGCAGATTCTGGGGATTCTGATGTGTCTGAGGATTCCGAAAATTCTGAACATCTTGAACATTATACGTATTTTAGGGTTTCTGGAGTTTCTGGGGATTCCGGGGGTTCTGGAGTTTGTGCGGATTCTAAGTATCCTGAGGATTCTGAACCTTTTGAACACTCTGAAAGCTCTGAGGTACTTGGGGATTCTAGAGATGTTCTGAGTTCCGGTGAATTTGGCGATTCTACGGATTTTTAGAAATCTGAGTATTCGGGGAATTCAAAAGATCCGACGGATTCGAAATTGGAGGATTCGGAGGATTCGGAAGATTCGGAGAATTCTGATAATTTTCTGAGGATTTTGAGAATTCCTGGAATTCTGGAGCTTCTTGGGATTCTGGAGATTCTGTGAATTCTGGGCATTTTGGTGATTCTGGGAATCTACGGATTTTGAAATTTCTCAAGATTTTGAACATTCTGTGGATTTCCGAGATTCTGAGGCTTCTGGGAATTTTGGAGCCTCTGACGATTTCAGAGTTTCTGGGGATTTGAAGGATTTTGAACATTTTTAACATTTTCAACACTGAACATTCTGGGTATTTTAGGGATTGTGACGATTCCACGGAATTATTCTGGGGATTCTAGGAATTACATTCTGAGGATTCTGAAGATTCGGAAGGTTTTGAAGCTTCTGAACAATTTGAACATTTCGAGTGCTCCGAAAATCCCTAGTTTACCGAATATTTTCAGAGGATTCTGAATTTCTTGGTGTCCTGTCAATTCTGGTGGTTCTACCGAATTTGGGATTTCTGGGATTCTTGGGGATTCTGGAGATTTTGGGGATTCTAAGGTGTCCGGAGATTCCGAAAATATAGCGTATTTGGGGTCACGAAGCAATATTTTCGAAAACTTCGGAGCAAAATTCGATTTTTTTGTAATTTTTAAAAATTGTGATATTTCAAAGGGCGATTTTGGAAAGACGGTTGGAGTTATCGAAGAAATGAAGTCGGAAATGACTTCTTCGGCCCGAAATCCACCAGAAAATGTATTAGCTAAATGGCGAAAATCGTTGAAAATGGATCGAAATTTGTATGTGGAAAATTTCATTTTTAAAAAGATCTCAAAGAGTGTTGAAACGGGCTCTATTGGATTGAATATATTGAATTTTAAGTTGTTGTTATTATGGTTGTTCAAATAACTCAGGATATCTAGAAAATAATAAAAAAAATATTTACATAAAAAGTTGTAACGAGTTTTATTTAAATAATGCTTCTTAGATTATAAACCTGAAATCACTTGTACTATATGCCTCTTTTGAAAGGTGCGTAATATTTTCCAAAAATTAAAAAAAAAGTTAGAACCAGCTCTATTCGAATGAAAAAAATGCACCAATGAATGATACTCGAAAATAATTAATCAATAACAGAAGCGAATTTATTTTGGTAGATTTTGAAATGACGTCATCAAATATTTGAAATGAATGAAGGGACAAATTATTATTAGTGATTTATGTGTAATATGGAATTAGCAGGACGTCAAAAATTAGATTATATATACAAATATTTTGAATCCCTGAAAAGACAAAAAAGCTCCCGACAAAACAGCTTTGACAAAAAAGCTCTGTTAAAATAGTTTAAAATCTGAAAGTAAATGCATATCTTATATTATTTGCATTTTTTATTGTTGAAATATTTTTCGCTTAACACTTGATTAGGTCAAATAAACAAATTGTAAAATTTCTGTAAATAAATAAAAACCAAAAAGTACTCGCTTAAAACTGTACTTTTTGAAACAAAAACTGGTAATAAATTCTCTTTAAACTACAAAAATTTTATACCGGGCTATTTTGACGGGTCATGCTTGAAAATGTAGAAATTCTGGGAGTAATAAAAATTTTAGAAGCAGTATACCTACATATAATAACTGTAGAAAAAATTTTGCGTCCACTTGTAAAATTTTTGAAAAATGCCATCATTTCTACCTCTGCAATAAAAATATTGCCGAACCCAAGAAATCCCAATATTTGTGTTTTCGTTTGAGGCGTAAAACAAACGTCATAAAAACTTTCCAAACCGCACAATTCCAAAACCCCCCTCTAAACCCGCCCTCATGAATAATTCCAATAATTCCAAAACGGCGAACCTGCGATTTAGATTTTCCGAAAACTGCAATTACGCCCACGCTTCGCCCACCACGTGCATGCCGCCCCCGCGCCGCCGCCCGCCCGGCCCCCTCCCCCCGCAATCATAACAACCCTAAAAATGAAAAGTAGGCAACAAAACCGTCCCGTCTTGCTTAATTAAAACATCAAAAGCAATATTTCAGAACGTCCTGAAAGGCAATCAGACGATTGTCCTTTTTTTCAGTCGTCCCTCGTCGTCCGTTTTCGCCCGATTTCGATTTTCCCAGGGCTTCTGGATATCGCAAACGCTTTCCGTGTGTGTACAGTGCGAGAGGAACGTCAAGTGGGAGCGATGGAAAGCTCGTCGCATAAGTGATCAAGTGGGCCGTGCGAGCTTTTTCCAGCTTTTCCCGAACGGAAATGACCGGAGCGCGGAAAACGGCATGTGAGAAAACGATGTGATTCTTCGTCGCGGACGAACTAAAAACACAGTGATTTCGAAGGAATTGAGATTTTCATATTTTCGATTAGACAGCGATTTTGGTTTGTCGTTCGACACTTTTTTGGAAATTTTTCTAGACGTTGATGGATCTACTTATTCTTCATAAACACTTAAAAGATGTTTGAGAGGTGAGTGTTTGTTGCATGACGTGATGTCGGGGGCGGTGATCCTTTAATCCGGACGATTATTAATTTCACGGGATCGGAAAATTCGACGGATCAACAAATCGACGCCGGGAAGGGACGGAGCGTGGGATGAAAAATGCTTTGCGGGCGATTTTCACAAAAAACGGGATTTTTATGCGGTCGGGCGGGATTTTTTTCGACGGGACTGCATATTGCGGAAAAACAACGGGCTAATGCGACCGAAAAAAATCGCACCCGAATTTCGTGGCTTTCGGGAAATTGGAACGAACGACTGTGTTCTAGTGGCGTGCTTTTTTCAAATTATTGTCAAAGCTGCTTAATGCGATACTGAATACTAGTGGAAAGCTCGCTGTCGAACTAAATTTTTCTAGTTTATTTTTGATGCAACTTTCGCGTTTGTTCCGTTTCAGCGTTTTGTTCGCAACTTTTAACACCTGATGTTCGTTTTATCTTAATCTAAAATTTATGCTGTCTATTTCTTTGCGTGTTGCTGCATTTTGTGGCAGTTTTGCATGCAGTGAGTCGCGGATTTGGATTTGGTGACACGAAATTAATTATAAAATTTTGTACAGAGTGTCTGAAAATGATTGTCATATCGTGGCGTGTTGTGAATTTAAATACCGTCTACCTGTTGCCTGTGGCTGCCCGTCGAAATGAAGTTGTTTGAAGAATGTTAAATCAGTCAATCCACAACAAAATATTTGTGGATGGAACAGTCGCAGTGCTTGAATATTTTGCTTCGGTATCAAAATCGTCTGAGAAAAATTGGGCGAAGGTTATTTCGACAGAATTTCCTTTGCCCTCGAAGCACAATAAATCAGGTTTTCGAAAAATTACATGTGGTTGAATTTACGTCAAAATGACTGAAACAGACAACTTCATCAAAAAACTACAAAATGAAAATTTAAAGTTATTACAAGAAAAATAACACGGGGTGCTGAAAAAAAATGTTTTTAAAGCAAAAATTTCTAGTTTAGAAGGGCAAGTGGTAAATTACGAAAATAAGGACATTTTCAACGAAAACCAAATTCAAAATTTAAGTGTTAAACGCCAACAACTAAAACGGTGGAACTACAAAACAATAGAAGAAGTGATTAAAACAAAATTTTAAAACTATATCTTCTAAATATAAATTTTCCGTTACTTCCAAGTAGAACCCTATGCCGTAAAATTCTGCACGTAGGTACCGTTTTTACCAGGAATTTTACATGAAATTTTTACCTATTTAATAATCAAAATTCAAAATTTTAATGATTAGTAGAGAGCGGATTTATAAGCACAAAAAATTAAGAATAAGCGCTTAAATAAGCACAACATTTTCAATAAAAAAGTTTTATTTTAAGCAAAAAAGCATTAAAAACATAATAATATTACAAATCAAAGAACACTTCTTAGAACTTTGGATAAAATATTATTACAATAATCCTAGACTTTATATTTTACACACGTATTTCAGTTTTCTTTAAAACAATTTATGATTGTAACATGTTCCAAGTTGTCCACTGTAAAATTTTTTCGCCGATCATTTAAAATGTGTTTAAAATTGGAGAATGTGTGTTCAAGATCCACACTCGTTGTTGGCGCAAATTTGAATTTTGCAACTAATGTTGAATCTAGTAACTCCAAATTTTCCAACTTCTGGCCTTGTAAAACACGAGCAACGTCGGAAAGAACACCGAAACCTGCATTTTTATTTAACACTTCGTCAAGTTTTTGAGATACTTTAGTACCAATATCACCCCTTACTGCGTTTGTTTGTTGTTTAAATTCTTTCACTAAGTTTATGGCATCTACCAACAACATGTTGGGTTTTTCTAACTTTTCTATTACCTCATATACGAATTGATAATTGCTTCTTAGAAAAGCTAGATCTTGTCGCAAATCTTTGTTTTCGAAAATATTTATGCAACATTTAATCGATTGAGACGAATCTTCGTCGAAAAAAGCATTAAATAAGCATATAAGTTTTAATATGCATAAAATTGAAAAAAAAGCAAATAAGCATAAAAAAAATGTGTCAGATGACTCCAAATTGGATCATAGTTACAGATATAAAAAAGTTTTGAAGTGCTTACATTTTTCACAAAAAGCATTAAACCTAGAAATCCGCTCTCTAGTAATAACGTTCGATTATCACAACCTTGTGGTGTCTATAAAGTAGGAAACAAATTTAAAAAAATTTCTCAGTTCTTTTTCCATTTGTTGAATGTGTGTGGCATATATAGGATGCCAGATCGACGCACAGTATTCTAGACGAGATCTAACTATAGAGTTAAACAAAGTGAGTAAAGCGTGTAGATTAGAGAATTCACGGCAATTTAGAAAAATAAACCCGTACATTTTATAAGCTTGGGAAATACATTCAGAAATATGGTTAGTAAACAGAAAATTTCGATCGAAAGTGACACCCAGATCTTTGGAGATTTTCAGACGACTTAAAAATCCACCTTAAATACAATAATTGAAATTAAGAATGTGTTCTTTCTTAGAATATGAAACAATAAAACATTTTGCTTTATTTAAATATAATCGCTTATTTTTGCTCCAAGAAATTGGTCTATTGGAGGGTAATCATCTTCTTTAATTAAAGGATTGATTGAATTGTCGACAACAGGAAATAAATTGAAAAAAATTAGATCAATTATATTATATTTTCTGCTATCGATATATGTATTTCTAAATCTAGACTACATAATTGTCATTTTCCAGCATGGTACAAGCCTGACACTATCAAACTTATTAATAAAAAACGTAAAACTTTAGCCCTCTATAGAAAAACTTCAAATGAAAGTCATTACAATTCTTATAGACATCTTCGTAACCTTTCTAAAACGGCTATCAAAAATGATTACAAAAAATACTTAACGTATATACAAACCAATTTAAATCATAATACGAAGATCTTCTACAGTTTTATCAACTCCAAAAGTCAAAACTCCAAATCTTATTTTCCCAAATGTATGAATTTTGGCGACACCTGCTCTTCAAAACCTAAAGACATTGCCAATATGTTTGCCAATTTTTTCAAGTCTGTTTATAATCAGGATGTTATCGACCCTAATATGACACTAGGCCTTTCAAGCGTCAACAACAATATCGATTTACACGACATAGATATCAGCATCGATGAAGTAAAGAATAAATTACTGTCCCTTAAATCTAGTTTTAATCCTGGACCAGATGGTATTCCTTCATTCTTCTTAACGCGGTGTGCTTCCAGTCTTGCCTGGCCAATCTGGATTTTATATAGTAAGTCTTTGACATCTGGTACATGCCCAGACATCTGGAAACAATCTTATGTCATACCTTTGTACAAATCAGGTGACAAAAAAGATGTTACAAACTATCGTCCTATTTCGATTATAGCAGCTTTATGCAAGGGTCTCGAAGCAATCATCAGTGATACATTAACTAGATCTTTTGCAAAGGTTTTGACACCTCATCAGCATGGATTTCTGCCAGGAAAAAGCACAGTAACAAATCTCGCCATCTACAATGAATATATCATTGATGCTTTAGAGGAGGCAGCTCAAGTCGACGCTGTTTATCTAGATTTCTGTAAAGCTTTCGACAAAGTCAACCATGCCCTTCTTTTAAAGAAATTAAAGATTTATGGCATACGAGGTTCTCTTCACCGCTGGTTAGCTTCTTACCTATTAAATCGTACCCAAAAAATATCAGTTAAAGGCTTTTTATCAGATGCTATTTCTATTCCCTCGGGAGTCCCACAAGGCAGTCACATCGGTCCTATTTTATTTTTAATATTCATAAATGACCTGGGATGCTATTCTCGAGCCTTCGTTATCGTAACGTATACGTTGTTTAGCGACGAATACTAAACACTGTATTCTTGACCGTTCGTTATAAATCGCATACGTTATTTAGCGAAGATTTTTAGTCTTTAAGCATCGAATAGGTATTGAAGTGACGGATCAAATAGTATTCTGTGCTTGTCAACTTCGCTTACAGATTCAATACGAAAAAGGCATACAACACAAATATTTAAAATGGACGAGTTAGTGCAAATTTTAGAAATTGAACACCTACAAAATTTAGAGGGACAAGTTGAACATGGCAAAAGGCTACGCAGAAATCCCAGAAATCCTTTTGCGGAGCTTAATGAGAGGCAATTTAATAACATGTTTCGATTAACAAAACAATTAACTCAATTTTTAATTTAATTAACATTTTGCAACCTTTTCTTACACCTCCCTTACGCGCTGCCGATTTAAGTATTCAAACAAAGGTAAATATATTTCTTTATTATCAAATGCTAAAACTTATATCTTTTATAAAAAATTTCCTAGGTCTTAACTGCATTAAGATTTTTTGCAAGTGGAAGCAGCTGGATATAGGTACTAATAAATACTTAGCTGTGTCGCAGCCCAGTGTTAGTCGGTGTGTAAACGAAGTAGCCAGTGCCTTAAATGATCCTCAAATATTTAATGGCTATATAAAATTTCCTAATAATTTTGAAGATCTAAATAGACTTAGGCAAGGGTATGTTATCAATTATCATCAAAATGCAAATTTTTTAAGTATATGAATTATACGGTATATGTATGTTGTTTTTCGGAGCATTTTGCTCCTCTTTTATTGTTCTGTTTATCCATTTATTAAACAGGATACGAATAATTAAAAAAAATTGAATTGTCACTCCTATGTGTCACCTCTTGTGGTTCCTAGGACACGGGTAAAATTTAAACATTTTTACAATGTTGTCAATGTTTGCTCTGCGCTAAACAGCGAACGTTCGTTACGGCGTAACGAATATTCTCCAGAATAGATTTTTTGTAAAATGTTCGCTATATTTTAATCGCTAAATAACGTATGCGCTATTTAACGCATAAAGTCAAGAATAGCACCCCTGGCACTATCACTTAATTTTGTTAGATTTTTATTCTTTGCGGACGATCTTAAAATACTCATTAAAGTTAACGACCTTGCAGATTGTCAAGCTATGCAATATACTCTTATAAAAA